TGTTATGCCTGTCCTCTCTCTCTCTCTACCTGACTATGCAGGTGGACTTCAGCATCCTGCCAGGACATGATTTCTGAACTGTTGTGCGGTAGCGTCACACACACAACAAACTGGGCTCATGAGAATGCCCCAAAATTGACTGGGAGGGGGATAGTAACACACTTTTGGAATATATTTTGATTAACCTGGTATAAATATGATTTTAAAATAAAGTCACGGGGCTGGCATTGTGGCTTAGTGGGTTAAGCTTATGCCTGCAACACTGGCATCCCACATCGGAGTGCTGGTTCTAGTTCTTGCTGTTTAACTCCAATTCAGCTCCATGCCAATATGCTGGGAAAGCAGTGGATAATGGCTGAGTACTTGGATATCTGCCATCCGTGGGGGAGACCAAGACGGAGTTCTAGGCTGCTGGCTTTGGCCTGACCCAGTCCTGGCAATCGCAGCCATTTGGGAAGTGAATCAGCAGATGGAAGATTCTCTCTCTCTCTCTGCCTTTTAAATAGATATTTAAAAACAATACAGTAAATAAAATAGAGTCTTGCTCTCTATAGAACAAGTAGTCTAGACAACTTGAAATCTGAGATCATTTCCTGAACGAATATGGGAATTTCAAAGCAGCAGGGACTTTGTCTTATGCCATATCTCCCACCTAGTACATAGCAGTTTCTTGAGGATACTGAGAGGGAGATAAGTGAGTACTGGGATTTATGATTAAAAACACACTGAGGAATTACATTCCTAATTTATTTAATGAGTTAATTTAGAACAATGAGCCATTTTTTTCAATGCGATAATGCTCAAATATCTTATCAGCTTCATAGATCACAGGTAGTGTCTACTTGGTGCACACCTTCATTTTCAGCTAATTGTAAGTGAAGAGAATGGAGAAGAAAGGCCTGTTTATTGTCCATACTGTTCACTGAGATCCTGCTGTTATCAATACCACAACCTACTATGAAGTTTTTTGGATTTTCTTGAGGAGATGCAACACAACCTCTATTTGAAAAAGGCAACCCTTAACTGATTTCTACTTTTATTTTTTGTTTGGTTTTTAATCTAGAAAAACTGAGGTGCCAAGAAAATATCATCCTTGCTAAACTGTAAATCAGCTCACTTGCCTAACGGTGAACCAGTAATTTTGTGTTTGTGGATAAAATCATGTTAAAGAAGTCCTTTTAGTACTTCAGCAATAAGCTACACAGGCACTGAGAGATGTTCACAAGCTCTATCAACAGCACCCTCACCATGGAGCAGAGCTCCAGTATCCTGCAAGACAGCTTTGTCAGCAGGTCCTGGAAAATTTCAGAACCCAGGTACTTGGCCTTGGACACTACTAATCCAACCCCCTTAAAACATCTGGGGCAGTGGCCAGAAAACACGGAGTGTTTGTTGCAACCACTCAGCTGTGCTGGTGCAGGGCCGTCAGTAATGTGTGAACGAGCATGCACATTTATTTAGAAAAACAGGCAGCAGGTGACCAGCCTCTGATTTTTACATCATGAGTGGTAAGATTAATTGCAAGATCCACTAAGATTCTCCCCTAACTCCCTTTTTTGTATATTTTGTTGGTACTCCCTTTTTTGTATATTTTGTTGGTTTCTTTCTCATTATAACAATATATAATTATTGTGAGTACTTACAGAAAAATGGGGAAAAAATGTTCCCTACAATACTATCAGACACACCGCTTCTTCATATTTTTTGCAGTCTTTCATTTACACACATGCTCATATATAACAGAATCGGGATAACATTGTATTAATGCTCTGTATGCAAATTTACTAATATTCTTATCTTCATACATGGCTAAATTTTACTAGTTTCTACTTTATAATCTGGTTTGTCTTTTCAGGAGCAGTGAGGAACTGCAGCTATAAAATTTCTTCTCTTACATGTACAATTCGGGGTTTTTGAAATTTGTAGCTTTGAAGCAACTACAGAGAGAGGAAAGCAGATAGGATATTGCCTAATGAAATCCAATACCATGTTTCTGCAAGATCAGAAGAGGAGTGTGTGTGTGTGTGTGTGTGTGTGTACGCGTGCTGGGGTACCAATCTGTTCTTAATAGAGTTTTCTGGGGGGTCAACTTTGTGTGGCAGCAGGTTTGCAATGTCAGCATTCCCTATTAGAGCATCAGTTTGAGTTCGAGCTGCTCTGCTTCGGATCCAGCCCCCTGTTAATATATATGCCTGGGACGGCAGAACAAGCATGACTGAAATGCCTGGGCCCCTGCCATCCATGTGGGAGACCTGGGTGGAGCTCCAGGCTCCTGGCCTCAGTCTGGTCCAGCCCTGGCCAGGCAAGCCTTTTGCGAAGGGAACTACAGAATGGAAGATTTCTTTCTCTGTCTCTCCTTGTCTGTCACGCTGCCTCTCAAATAAAGTAAGTCTTTTAAAAATTATAGTTTTCTGTAGTCCTTTGAATAGCTCTCCATTGTTACAAGCCTTTCAGGAAATTTGTGACCTTGGAGAAGCACTGTGTGTTGGACAGGGGATTCCTACGCTCTGGAGCACTTCCACTATGCACTCACTCCAGTGAGGACCGTTCTCCAATTCAAATCATACTCAGACATCTGCCTCCCACCTCTCCTACTGCCAATCTGGTAATTTCTCTAATTATCGGTAGTCCTAACAGGGACTATTAGAAGTCCAGATTTAAAAGGACTTCTAGGAAGAAATAGTAAAGCCCAATACTTGAAAAGTGCAGCTATTTGGATTTCATGGCTTTCACATTGACCCCACTATCCTTATGTGTTCTGAAGGTAAAGCCAGGTATTTCTATCTTGCTACTGCAAAGAGGTATACTTACTGAGAAAAACAACAGGGAACCAGAAAATGACCCTTGACACAAAGATACAGAACTACAATGAGTGCAATAAGGCCCTGCTACCTCGTGGAGTGTATGCTTAAGTTGGCCAGAGCCTTACTTCTAGATTCTGAAGACATCGTGTTTGTTCAGCAAATCCATAACACCCGGGAGTTGCAGTGATAATGTTTGTAATGTACACAACATAATTTGTTTTAAGTTCTTTGAAACCAGAGACTCAGTGTGAGCAGTTGAACCCATTTCTTAGCCTGTGAACACGGACGCATCCTTCCCCTACCTCTGAGTTGCTATAAATACTGGGGGCTAACTTAAAATGCATGCAGAATAAATGTTGCCATTGTTTATAATAGAACCGGTAATTACAAATTCTCCTCAGCTATTGATCCCCAAAGATCTTTTATTGTCAACATTTTATGTTATAGTTCATTTCTGCATATGTGTAAAGGTAACAAGATAATTATGCTTTGAATGACACCATTAATTCATTCCAACTAGTCTTCCCTCAAATTAATACTAAATAGTGATGGATATGTGTAATTTCAGTCGAGGCTACAGTCATGTTTGCTTTGCCATACCAATGGGAAGGGGAAAATCGGTGTCTTTTTTGAAAGTATAGGTGAAGCAAGCTAAAATAAAGTGAAGCTCAAATAATGACTTCAAGCATTATTGATGTCGTATTGTGAATGTCACTTACACTGCCGTGCAGAAGGAAGCTCCCTCTGGCCAGTGCACCAGAAAGGTAGGACAGTCCACTTTCATGCTCTCAGTGGGGCATCATGCTCATATAAATCAAATATAAAAACATTATTCTTGAGTCTGTTTCCCAAATGTTCAATTGCTGGAGTTTGCCCTGACAAGCATAGGGATACATCAGTCACCTTTTTAGAGTTGTAAAGCAAGAAAGTGCAAAGGCATAGGGGAAAGAGCTTGGCTGCTTCTCTTTTTAGCAACGTAGTTCACTCTTTTCAAAAACTGTAGGTGTTACTATCCGTTCTAGTGATGAACCCATCCTGAAAGCTCTGCTTGCACAGAAATCAGGGTTTCTCAAACATACCAACTGGAGGAGTAGCCGGTTTTAGAATGCACATTTCCAGACCACTCCAGGGGACCAGTATTTCCAATAAGCAGTTACAGTCATCAGACAAGTTAGGGCAACCCATCCCAGCAGTGCTTCTCAACCCTGGCCACTTGTTAGCATCTCCTGGGGAGCATGAAAAGCAGCAACATCAACAACAACTGTTGTCCAAGCCTCACCCCGCACCAATTAAATCAGCATCTCTGGAGTTGGCCTGGCCATGGGTGTTGTTTTAAACGCTATCTAGACAATGCTAGTGTGCAGCCAGGGCTGAGAAACACCACTCCTTGGCATGGCTACATCAGTCACCGGGGACCAGCAGCGCTGGCCCCCCACTGTGAGCTGGTTAGAAATGCAGGACCCCAGGTCTAGCCCCCAGACCCCAGGAATGGCAGTCTGCCCTTCAATGAGCTCTTCAGGGGATCTGTGTGTGCATTTTAGTTGACAAGGCTGTTTGAGTGCACGTCAACGAAATGCAAATCTTTCCAGCCAGAAGTTGGATTTTTACCTCCACTGCTGCCCCAACCTTTGTGCCAGCAACAGCAAAAGCAGCTTAACATCTTTTTAGAGATCTCTCTTTATGCATTGGACTATTGAAAGCCAAAGGAAGAGGACAGGGTGAGGCACACTTGATTCCAAAGTCATTTACAAAAGTATGGTAACCCGTGTGTACTGCCTTCAATCAAACGCCCCAGAGAAATTTAATTGGCAGTTTCTGTTTCACGCCCTGCAATCAAAGACATTAAGCATCACTAACATTCATATCCGTGAATTCATTAGCTTTTTTTTTTTTTTTTTAATTAACGACGAAGACACTACAGTTCTAAGTACCAGACAGAATCAGGCGGAGAAAAAACTGAAAATAAGCATCACACTATAAAGAAAACTTGGAAAAGTGAAACATTTCTAAATAAAAATATAGACTTGGCCTGGTACCCATTACATATATACATAATACATATGTTATACACATATATACAATACATGTTTTGGTAGCAATACAGACCATGCATTGGTCTTTGTGTACACAGATGAAGTAGCACCATGAGCAGCACCACCATCTTCAAAGGAAAAATCAAACTGCACAGATACTAAATGAAAAGATCCATGGTTTTTATTTGGCCCACCCTGTAGCCAAGAAGGGTAAGGAAAGTACTTCGTGAGAAAAGTTGTTCTGGAACTACATTCTGAAGCCAATGGCAAAGACCTAAAAAAAATATGCTAAAGATGTCTACACAAACACTGACGAGTTTTCCTGCTTAGTGAATTTGTCCTATTATATCGCATGTTGGCTAACACTGAGGAAAGCAACAGCAGAAGCAAAGAGAGAAATTTAAGTGCCAGGTGAATGGCAAAATCCTAAAACACCAGATCTCTTGGTGTAAACATCACAAAAGCCAAGTCATCGACAAACTAGGAAAGGAAGATAACTCTCCATCTAAGTCCTATGTTTTCTAACCGTATTAGCTAAAGGTAAGCTCTTTATTAATGATAAAATCCTTAAGAGTAGGTCCAAACACTTCTGATTATTCTACTTCCTCCCAGCACCTAATCTGACACTTTAGTAACAGACAGTGAGACACCCAACATACCACCTGACCCGCCCATTTCCTATCCACACCTTGAGACTGATTCCCAGAGCCATGGAAGAACCTCAGGCTTGGTTTAGAAATGACCAAAGGCACCAGTGGTTAAGCCTTGATGATCTACTGGTTATGAAAAGGCTGTTTTTGTTCTCCTTAACTAAGCTCATAGCCTGGATGGAGGTCCTTGTCTTAGTATTGGCAAGGCTGTAATTCCTCTCATCCCTGGGAAGAGCATGCTTCATCCTCTCAATAGCCTATACATGTACAGATAGAGCATCACCTAGTGCTAACACTCACTGCGTCCTCAGAACACAAACTGCCCCGTCACTCACTGCAAAGAAACAAATTCATTAGTGAGCTTCCACTCATTCTCCTTTGCAAGCCTTCCAAAGGGATCTCATCTATCCTTAATCAAGATCTGAATTCCCAGTGTCTGGTTTCAGGGCCTCCTCGTGTGATGGACCAACAGAGCGCTACCAAAGCAGCACGAGATCAAACATGGGATCGCTGTCACAGCAGTTAGGGGTGCTCCGCGTCCGCGCTACTTTTGAAAGGCTCTTGGTAACAGTGAGTGGCCCTTTCTCCCATCTTTAAACTGCTTGCAGCAGACATATTTACGAATCTGTGCGGCATATTGGATTCACAATGCAAGATGGAATAAAACGGGGCTGTGATATTGTAAAATCTCATTTCTCACGGTATGGTAACATTGTTTAACACTTTAAACAGGTCAGATTTAAATGACAGCTAGAAGACAAAAGCCAGTGGGGGAAAGGTTAGGTATTTCTACTTCTGGCTAAAAGATTTTAAGTAGATCCATTTTTTCAGTCACTAAATTAGTCAAGAGAATCCCTGACCTTTAAAAGTTGGCAAGAAATAGCCACTGCTGTAACATCGGTAGTGACTTGTCACTATCGACTCGGGTAGTTGTTCGTTAACAGAGTCTCTTCACTTCTAGCTGGGTCTAGGGCCATTCTTTGGCCCACAATGAAGACATCATCAAAGTCAGAAAACACGCTTGTTCTTTTCTCAAAGGAGAATTTTTAAACTCTGCCTATGTCTCTAAGAAAGAGCACTCTGAAAGGTTGGTCTCAGGAAGAAAAGGCCACGAACGTCTAGGTTAACCAGAGGCTACGAGAAGCCCCATTACTGTAAACCATTGGCTGCCCTACAAATACTTTGAAATGGATAAAAGCCAACTCTCTTCAATAAGAACTGCACACAAGAACATAGCAGCTGATGTTGCTCAAAGTAAACCTTTCGTGTAGCCAGGGCACGAGTTTTTGGCTTGAGTACCAGCAACTTCCAGTTTTAAGCCGATAAGGCTCGGTACCACCATCAAACCCAACTACGTGCCACCAGAAGCAGCTTAAAGAATCTCTACCTTTGTGCTATCCAGCTCCACAAAACGTCAGAGAAATAGAAATTAAGAGATGGATTTTTTCCAGTCTGTTTCTTTCTGTTCTCACCCAAAAATATGTCCATAATTCTACATGCAGAGGTATCTTGGTTAACACATATTCAAAGAATAGTTTCTTTGAGAAATACTAACCAGCTCTCTAGGAAAATGGTTGGGACTGACTGTGCTCACTGATTTCTCTTTAGTTAAGTACATAGTAGAAGACAGCAGGGTAGCTTGCTTCCTTCTTATACTGTAAGAAACGGTATGAATCAGAATACTTGAAAAATGATAAGCTAGTCTTTTTTTTTACAAAAGTAAAAAAAAAAACTTTCACATCAGATTTTCAAAACTGGTAGTGTTCCCTAGAATAGGAAATGATGTCATTCAGCAACTTTCTTGAAAACAATGTATTCTTATGACTATCGACCTATTTATCTCAGAAATTGATGAGCATGCAAATGATTAAAATCTGCAGCAAGGAACATTGTACAACAATCTTTGAGGTACATGCCATCTCTTTGAATCAACAGTGACATGGGCCTCTGCAGTGTGTGGGTTCCATTATCTCTACTCTTTCGAGGACAGCAAGGGACTGTAACCAGCTGATCAGGGCTCCAACCAAGGCCCCTTCCTTGTAGCCCCACCCAGGGAGCTCAACCCTTCAGAGAAATAAAACACTGCTCCTCCCAATTGCAGGGCTAGCAATTCCTAATATAGACTTCATATTGACTCAGAGGGAGCCTGATATTTGCACTAATTCACTTAGCCTTTAGGAAGTTTCCTGGCAAAAGATTAAAAATTCCATAGGTAACATCTTTGAAATGTGTTCACTGCCACATCTAATCTCACATGGAAAACTTCCAAGATGCATATATTTTGCAAACAAGAAGAGGATTAAGATTTTCACTGCTAGCTAGATGTTCCCATATCAGGTCTTCATGTTTGGATATGCTCTCTGTATACTGAGTGTTAATAACCAAACACTAATAGGCCAGTACCCATCAGGGCAAACAGGAGAATTACATTCAATTTCTACGAGAACACTGGGAGTTCTCAGAAAACACGAGATAAGGGTCTTAAGGAAAGTGAGATATAGCCCTGGTCATGATAAAAAACACTTTCTGGAATTTTAATTTCTGGTTAGCAAGCACTCACTTGTCTTTCCACTTTTCTCGAGATAATGCAGGAAATGAAATATTATAACTTGTGCAACAGAAAAAACACCCGATGGGAATAGAGAGGGAAGCTTATAGAAGTAGGGGGAGGGGGAGGGAGAGAAGAAAAGATCAACAGTATCTAGTTTATTATGAATAGAAAGACATTTCCAGAATTTACAAACACCCACATTGTTCATTCCAAAGAGAGCTTTTGATTTGAAGGGATCACTCTCGCCTCCTTCTCTTTACAATATATACAATGGAAGACTTGGATTTCCTTTTCTTGTAATTTTGCTTCCATTCAGTTGCCAATTTTAAGCCCACATTTGAAAACACCCAGTAGAATAAATCCTTCTTCAGTTTAATTAACATGGCCTATTGTCTTTCAGGAAAAATACAAAATTAATATTACTTCTTGTAAGGAACTCAGCTCAACATCAGGTCTATATTACAAGAGATAGTATCAGCAAATATAACTATACAATTGAGAACAATCTATGGCACTAGTATTCTTATTATATTATTTTTATGAATTACAATCTTAAAACAAGGATCATACCCTATTCTACTCTTTTTAGCCTTGTTTTAAGCATTTGCTCCACTCTTTACAACAGAACATTGTATACCTCAGTTCCACATTCCAAAAAAAAAAAAAAGATGTGCTGTAAGAAAAGTTACTTTTTCCTTTTAAAAATTACACATATAAATCAAAACCTATGTTAAATATTTAATACTCTCTCCACCCAATGTGAACAATTTCGTATGAAATAATTTACAACAATGCTTTGTCGCACACAGTTTCAGCAGCAGATGAAATGAATCTTGTCAATGCGATGAGAGGAAACCCATTCTCCGTGACGGCGTGTGGTGGGCATGTCAACTCATCACGGCCAGCTAAGTCCTTAAGGTTGAAGATGAAGTTTATGTAGAGTCATTGTCATTGTCCTGGTGTCACAGTGCTTTTCTGCTTGGCACAATATAGAACGTGCAGTTCAGTCAACGAACTCCTGAGGATTGTATAAAGTAAACAAACTGAAATGGATGCATCGTACCATCTACTGAGGAGGAAGATGTGAGGTCCTAGTTGTGAATCATGAACTAGTCTGGGTACCCATGAGTTAAAGGAGGATTTGCTGAGGTTGTTTAGGTCTTCATTCTGAAAAGGAAAATGAAAGAGTTCATCACCACAGGCATCTCAAAACACACATTCAATCACTATTTGAGCGTTCTGCTTTTAAAAGGGGCAGTATCAGATAAACTACAGTTATGGGCACAGAAAGTACTATGTACCTAAATTAAAACCAACAAACTGTATTTAACTTTTTTTTTTCCTCTCAAAACATGAGAGTCTAAAGCAATCACAAACTAAAAGTAGCCAATACTAAATCAGCAAACAAATCAATGGGATCTGGACATTTCAGAGGTTTAGCAACACAAAAATGCAAAATTATCTGGTGTGATAACTGAAGCAAACATGTACATCATAGCGTGTGCAACCACTACAAAATATAGTGAGCAGGTTATAGTGAGTCTGCACTACATTCTGGGGCTAAATTGTACTGTGGATTTTAGACATGACATTTGACATCAAAGTTTTAAATGCAAAGGGAGACCCCAATAAAACAGACCTAATCATTAAATCAGGAAAGAAGTGTGTTCTGATTTAGGTGTAATAAAAATAAGTTACCAAGACAGAAATACTTCTTGTATCCTATTCAAGAAGGTAGATGTCAAGAGGGAACCTCACAAAGCATCTTTTGCTCCCAAATTACATTCGATAGTCTTGAAGAAGTTCAGGTTTTTCACGGATTGAATATGCACACACACACATATAAATAAAGAGAGATAACAGAGAGAGAGAGAAAGAGAGAAAGCCTTGAATACTATGTGGCACACAGTAGATAGCTGCAAATTTTGCTTGAATGAGTAAATAGCTGCATTAAGTGCTACGGAAGATTCAAATTTGAATTCTGGTACAAGCCCTGCTTTCCAGAAATTCTAGAAAAGCAAGCTCCACTCATAAGAATGCAAAGTAGACAAGAGGGAACTTCATCCCAGATGCACAGATGGGGAAAGCTCTAGGCCGCAGAAGAGGAAAACTCTTCCACTAGGAATAGAGGGAGGTGCCGCACGCACACGCGTGGCTTAGTTTAGAAGCACAGGAATAATCTGGGGAGGTAGAAATCGGGATTTTCACCTCTGTGTCTCAGTGTTACATACCCGGAGTTGTGCACAAGGCCTGACACACAGCATGCACTCAATAAATGTGAGCTAATGAGTGAGTGAGACAAAGCACACTTCACTTTGAAAACAAAGGGAGGCAAGAGGGGAACCATGAAGGAGCCATGGGAGGACTGTGGCTTCCAGGGACTGCAAGGTGTGTGAAGAGGAGGGAGGGAGTTAAGTGTAGAGACAGACATTGGGCCACATGACGAAGAACACTGAGTGACAAGCCAAGATGTCTTTAATTATAGGGACAACAAGGACCTATTTTGTGATAGGATCAAGATGTAGCCATAATAATCCACGTCAGCTATGGGAAATCAATGTTTTCAGAAACTCACAAACATAAATGCTGACTAATAGAACTCTCTCCCTTCCCTCTCCTTTTGAAGGGGAGGGCTAAGGTGCAGATGCCTCAGCATTCACTATTTGCACACTGGCTTTTTAGGTAAGTCTAGTTTTATGAGGAGGTTTCTGTTTATTTAAAAATACTAACTCTGCCTCTAAAAGGTAGGCAGAATATTTCTTTTGGTTTGGTTTGCTTTTAGTAAGTATTTTAGTAAGTATTTATTAGTACTTACTAATAAAGACTTGGTGTGGAGACGCCAATGGAGAAACATTCCAGGCTTATCCCTGTAATTGCCAAAGAAGGATTCCTTCCTAGAGTCTCTGCCAGCCCAAGGAAAGCCCATTGTCCTTTCTTCGAAAGGCCCCACACTGTGCGGTGCAACTCCCCCAGACAATGAGCTCCAGACCTCTTATTTACTTTCCCGTTTCTTCTGAACTCCTATCTACCCCAATTTCTAGACACAGCTGAGCGGCTCACGCCTCTGAGCCCAACATTAGGCAGGAAGGCCACACTTTATTAAAGGACAAACAAAGAAACTGCTGCACATAAAATGGGTGAAAAACAAAGAGCAGGCGGTATGTTTTTCATTTCATAGCTGGCTGTCATCCAAGAGGGCTGGATGAACAGCTTAGTACAGGAACAAACTGTACCCGGTTTTATCATCACACGTGCCAACCTGCAAGGCTCCACAAGGGCACAGACTGGGGGCCCAGTGAGGAGAGAAAAAAATATGGCTTCACTGAGTACTGAAATCTATTGCTTTGGGCAACTCCCAAACCATACCTGTAATTTTCCACAAAGAGCTGGAAATAAAAGGACGTATCTACTCCATCATAAACCTTCCTTTCAAACTTCTTACCTGCCTTTCAAAGTCTCAGCATATCATAAGTCCCTATCAACACAAGCCTGAGCCATAAATGCTACCTCTTGGGGCTATCAACTTAGGAGGTAAAGAAAAAATGAAAGCAAGAGGTAAAGAGAGAGGAACGGGACATGGGGTTTGGGAGGGGGATGGCAACTTGTGGCTATACACGGGCAACAAAGGCCTGGCCAGATTCAAAGGGAAGTCTGGGGTTCACACTTGTCTGATTTCGCACAAGGGTATGTGCATGTGTGTATGTCATCAAGTGAAGCTACTGAGTAATGAAATGGATTTTTCACAGACATCTTCCAGTGAAAACTGTCCTGCACAATGACCACCTTGGTGGTGGTTGGGGGTAGGGGAGTTGCTGCATACTTATTCCAATCATGCAGCCATTGTTTGGAACATTTTTGGAATGCCTTCTCAAGTCCCCCCCCCCCCCCTTTTTTTTTTTTTGCAACTGCCTTCTCAGCCTTGGGCATATTCTTTTGAATGGTCTCTATAGCAGCCAATCTTAGCCCTTTGAGGGCATATTTGATCTTTGGAGACAGCCAAAAAGCTTTGAGAGCCAAATATGGCAAATAAAAGACCTGATTAAGTAGGGTAATGGTTCCCAGTGAGGTATTATCTGAAGCCAAAGAGCCCTGAAGCTTAAGTTCCAGAGACACAGTTGTTCACAAGAGCTACGCAGATGAGCTCACTGGAAAGAAGTCTCAGAACTTTATAGACAGACCTCAACGCACGGGACTTGAGTTCATCTGCTCACAGCCCTGCCTCTCACACTTGCGAACAAAACAGGGTAAGCATGAATAAAGCAACTCATGTGAAGAAGGTAAATATGTATACAGATATACTTTTGCAACATAGGAATTTTTCTTTTAAAGAGCAATACCCATACTATGTTCCTGTAATCATTCAATTCAATAAATATCTGTTGAGTGACAAATACAAATATGATTGCAATGATAAATACCAAAGGAGATGACACAAGCATATTATGCATAATGTACTTATTTATGTATGAGAGTACCTCAAAAAGTTTGTGGAAAGTGAAATTAAAAAAAGGCTACTTGTTGCAAAAAAAAAAACTTTTTGAAATTCATGTTTTCATAATGTGCATTTTCCATAAACTCTCTGAAGATCTCCCCTACATATACAACCTCAATTGGCTGACACCAACCATATGTAGCAAATATTACCAAAATGCTTCACAAATACAAAAACTCATTTGTAAAATTTATACACTGGAAACAAAAAAGCGAAACATTTCCCTAAGACACTGCAAATATCAAGTGGTGATCTTCCTGAGATACAATTTCTTGAGTTACATCATTGGGGAATAACTTCTGAACCCAGAAATACAATGCACCTGTCATGAGATTTAGTGGCAGGAAATTACATTTTGACAAAATTTCATCACCACATCAGTATCTACCATACCCTTCTGTGTGTATCTTCTTGTAAGATAAAACCCATCTAATCCTGTTGCCAGTAATGAAAAATGCAATTTTTAAAGCATTATCAAATAAGTGAACACTTGAGCAATGCTACTTGAGACCTATGGATTATTGCTTTATTGCATCCAGTAGGAATTTACATCTTCTGGACTCAACCCATTTAAACTATGCCTACTAGAGCTGAAAAACAAATAGGGTTTTGGCTCCCATTCACATTGTCGCAGCCCACTGATCAGTTTCCACTGTGAAAACAGCACACAAGGTCACGATATAAGTACAATGGAAGGATCTGCACCCTTTCAGCTATGCGTGTTTAATAAAAACCACTGACAAGTGCTGTTACTTCTCACCAACTTGTTGAGTCAAATGAAATACGGTAATAAGTATCTGGTCAGGCCATTACTAGCAGTCTCTACTTTTACTAAGGCTATAAAAGTAAAAGCAACTCTGAGTTTCTTGGCTATTATCATATACACTAAAAGAGGACCAGAAAGGAATTCTTCTTCATTGAATTTTGCTTTAAAAAACAAACCACAGTCAAAATTTTTCTTCAAGTGAGCTTGTTTTTTTAAATCTTATATTGCAGATTCAACTTAAAAATTCATAAAATCAAATCGCTGCATTTCAATAAATGCGTCAATTACAGTTTCCTGCTAATGTGCACCCTGGGAGGAAATGGTGATGGCTCAAGTATTTAAGTTCAATCTAAGGACTGAATCCCAACAACGGGCTGTGGCCTGGCTTAGCCTCAGCAATCGAGGACATGTGAAGGGTGAACCAACAGTGGGAGCTCTGTTTCTCTTTCGATGTCTCTGCTTCTCAAATAATTTTCTAAAAATAAATACATGAGGGGGGCGGCGCTGTGGTATAGTGGGTTAAGCCACCTCCTGCAGTGTCAGCATCCCACGTGGGTGCCAGTAGAGAGTCCCGGCTGCTCCACTTCTGACCCAGCTCCCTGCTAATGTGTCTGGGAAAACCCGTGGAAGAGGGTCCAAGGGCTTGGGCCCCTGCACCCATGTGGGAGACCCAGATGAAGCTCCTGGCTCCTTGCTTCAGTCTGGCCCAACCCTGGCCGTGTGGCCACTGGGGAGTGAACCAGCAGATGGAAGACTTCTCTCTCTCTCTCTCTGCCTCTCCTTCTCTGTAACTCTGCCTTTCAAATAAATAAATCTTAAAAAAAATAGGGAAAAGTATCTAAAGAGCATACTTTTATTTTAGTTAATATGAACAGCTTTTAAAAGAAAATGAAGCTGATTATCTTGATT